ATACCAAATGAAACGGACCTTTACAAAGTACCTCATTTGGTGACGCTATGAGGGTGTACCGTTATCCCTCTACATTTGCCCAGAAGGGAGTTAGTCGCGGAAGGAACTTAGCCACGGAGGGAGTTTTGGCATTCTCCGCCCGCGCCACAAACTCTCGTCCCCAGGACAGTTCACTCTGCTACCCAGCATGCTTTGCGCAAAATGCGTTCTCGGCCCCAGGACACAAATACACGCTAATGCTTCCGCACTGTGTTGCTCTGGGGACCCCGCCGCGCGCCCAGATGTGGATTTAATTATAGCGCGCTAGCGGACGCTGCGGAGGAGCGTGGGTTAATAAAATGAGGGCGCGTCACAAGCATAAAACATACAAAGAGCTAAATCCATTACTGCTCCCAGGGCGTGTAAAGATACTGTGCTTCAAGTTCTAACTTCATTTTAATTACACACACACAATCATTGCATTCACATAAAGATCGGACTATCATGGTCGTGTCTAGTAACAAAGACAGCCCCACCGTCTTACGGTGCCTGTACCTAATTAAGCGCGCCTGGAACAAGCCAAATTCCAGCAACAGTGGCGGTAAGCACCGCGAGTGTTACTACCGCCGGCCAGATAACCAGGATATCTGCTTACAGTACCTCTGCTACCAGACAACTGCCTAAACCTACGGTCTATTCCACAGGATTGTAAAAGTAGGGATGTTTCGAAAATAACCATTTACTCCAATATCAAAACAGCTACGGTAAAAATAAAAAGACGTGCATCATCCCGGACATAATGCAACACCACATGCGAAATTACACAGATATGCGACGTACGGCAGAATGCGTTTTGGCTGCGAACATCTTCCAAAAAACTTGGCATCTCTTAACCATGGGCAAAAACATCTGGAACCACTTATAAAAACCACCCCGTATCTGCATGAACTTTTACCTCCCCCCCGCTATTCCAAACAACGCGTTTTTCTGGACCGTTCCAATTCGCCTCGTAATTGTAGGGGTGCGTCTGCGATATTACATTGACCGCGAAAGCAGCAACGGCAAAAATACACATTCGTGCATCAACACGGGCATGCCCGCAGACGGCGTATAAAATTGCGTGCCGATTACACGAAGAGAACCCAGTGTTTTGACTGCGAACATGAAAAATCAGCCGATTACAACACTCCGTCCGGAGGTCCTGACCTCCTTCACGGAGTAATAATGATTAAAGAAATTCACGACTCTCTTAAAAAGATTCCATGGAGGTACATGTATGATATCCTTGATATCTTGTTTTTCAAGGACAAATCAAGGTGAACAACACCATTGACAGGGAAGACGGCCAGTGGCTTAACTTCACTGTGATAGCAAAAGATGGCGGCAACCCTCCCAGATCAACCAACAAGACTTACCACTGGAGAGTTTCTGACACCAATGACAACGATCCAAAGTTTGAACAACCATCCTACCGTGGGGAAGTGTCGGAAAATGCAACTGTCGGAACATCTGTGTTGGCTGTCACTGCGACTGATGCTGATTTTGGGAGTTTCGGGACTGTACGATACACATTGGTTCCTAGGGATAGCAACTTTACTATTGATGAAATCTCGGTAAGTATTTCCATTGAATTTAATACTTGGGAAAGTTGGGATGTATAACTATTGCTACCCCTAATGAACAGATGCAGTACCTGTTAATGCTGGGCTGTGGCATAATACTAAATTTCTTGAATGAAAAGATTCAAGACTAAAAAAATACAACTTAAACTTGAGCTATATCTTATAATTGTTGTTGAGACCACACATGGACTGTATGCTACAAAGAACAATACTACATGTGTACTTGCATCAATTTTTCACCAGGATATTGCACAAAAATATATATCCACATTGAAATAGCATTTGTATAAACCACTGGATGCAAGGACAAATATTGTTTCTTGGTGCACCCATAGGG